GTGGCATGTCCCTTTAGGCAGTGTGATAAATCATTTGCAGTAATATCTACATTTACCTCTCACTTATCAAGAAAACATAAAAATTCAACAGAGTTAAACCTATTGAAAGTGATATAACAGATAAACATATTGAAGTTGGAGATGAAAATTTGGAGGTTAGTCCAGAAAATATTGATGAGACGACTACAGAAAATATTGATGAGAGGTTATTTTTGAAGAATCTTGCTCTGTTTTATCTGAAATTACAGGCAAAGTTACTGCTTCCATCTTCAGTCATTCAGACAATCATTGAAGATATGCAATCAGTTTATGATATCAACCAGTCTCACTTACTTTTCAAACTAAATGAGAAGTTGGTAACACTTGGGATTCCAGAGGCTTCCATTAATGATGTTATGGACAGTATGAAAGCTGACAACCTGTTACAAGCATGTAATAACCACACACTAAAAACAGATCAACGCAGGAAAACAGTGTTCCAGAAAAGTTTTAGTTATGTTGAACCTATGCCAATATGTCTAGGACTTAATGAAGCTGGAAAGGGGTGTTTTTCACAGTATGTCCCTGTAAAACAGACGATTGAGGCCCTTTTTCATTCTGAGTCTGTGTGGAAACAGTACAAGGAAGTGCACAGTCATATCCAGTCGAAGGATATTTTTGAAGATGTGTGGGATAGTGAAAACAACACAAAAAACCTGGCCGAGGTAGCAAGGTCCTCTTTAGGTTTGATACTTTATCAAGATTCATTTGAAGTTGTAAACCCACTGGGGTCTGGAAAGAAAAAACACAAAATACTGGCTATGTGTCTAACACTTGCAGACTTATTGCCACAGCCGGTCAAGTATTGACCAGATGCAACTTGTTCTTCTGTGTAGAGAACAAGATTTCAAGTATTTTGGTCAGGAATTGGTCATGGGATGCTTGATAAAAGACCTTCAAGACCTTGAGACCAATGGCATAGTGTTACCTGATGGACAGGTATCCAAAGGAATCTTGAGAGCTATTTCTGGAGACAACCTTGGCTCACACAGCATTGGAGGTTTTCTTGAAAACTTCAGTGGCAGTAACTTCTGTCGATACTGCGAAGTTAGCAGAGATGCGTTTCAGTCAGATCCTCTGTCCAGAGACAACACAAATGGTGCTACAACTGAGAGAAATTGTGGCATTGATTTGTGCACCAGCCATTTCTGCTGACCAGATAGGGTATTTAAGAGTTCTTATTGATGAATACTTGTATTCCAGAAAACAAGCCTTTCCCCATCATAAGCTTAAACCTAAGCATCACTACATGAGTCATTATCCAGAGCTAATCATTCAGTTTGGACCTCTTATTCGTTTGTGTACTTTGCGATTCAAAAGTAAGCACACATATTTCAAACGGTGCACAAGAAAACTACATAACTTCAAAAATGTGTGCTCATGCCTTGCTGAGAGACATCAGCTTCTTCAAGCATATCTTAGTGCTGGCAATCTCTTCCCACCAGCAATTGTAGTAGAAAAGGCAACTGAATTTTTTCCAAGTGACTGCAATGATGGCATCAGGGAATCAGTTGCAAATTTTGATTTTGGACCTGATAATACTTTAATTGCCTATGAAGCAACTGTAAAAGGAACCAAATAAAAAAAAAAAACATATTTGTTGTTATCAGTAAGGAAGAGAATGAGCTTGAAGTTGGTAAGATTATTATGATACTCAATCATAAAAATTCTGCAGTCTACTTCATTACTGAAAAGTGTAAGGCTTTGTGTCTACATGACATGGGTGTTTACTGCATCACACCAATCAAGAGCAGTTACTACTGTGTAAAACAGGAGAACCTACTTGATTATTACCCTCTACCTCAGTATACAATTTGTCACATGTCATTACTTGTTCTTCATTATTCTTTTCCATCTTTGTAGTGCAATGAGCATTGTGAGTGAAGACCTGAGGGGCATCATCCTCAGAACTTTGCTAACAATTTCCAGAGACACTCAACAGACATTGATAGATAAGCTATTAAACTCTGGATTGGAATTTACTCAAGACCTGAAATATGTAACTCAAGATGATATCGCCAACCTACTGCCAGCCATTCAGCTACGGAAACTCCTGGAAGCATTTAAAAACGGTAATGTTGAAAGAAAACGTACATCTGTTTTGCATTATGAAGTGAATTCTTAATAGCTTTGACAGGCCTTTTTTTAAAAACTTCTAATACAGTACAGGACACTATATTTCAAACCTAGGTAGTTGTATAAGAATATTTGATTATTTCTAACTATTTCTATACCCATTGATTTTGTACTACAATACCATGTGTTGTCTTCCCTCTGCTTTATCTATTTCAGAGACAGAAGCGGTCACTTTGGACCTACAAATACGTCCTTCTCCTATACCAGTCAGCACACCTTCAGTCCTTTCATGCTCCAGTCCATTAAGTGTATCTTCAATCTCAAATCCAGAATCTAGCAGCTGAGATGAGTGCGGTCCATCCTCCCGCATCAAAAAAACTTGGCCAGAGACATTCCGGGTTCCATGGACCATCATGCCTGCGGACATTCGTTCAGCTGTGGCTGATGGCAAGAGACCCTCACCACCCTCACGGTGACAAATGGTTAGAATTTTGGCAGACAAGATGAAGAAGCATGAGCTAAACCCAACACGCTCACAATGTATCACTGTCTGCCAGAATATCATCCGCCTGTATCCTCAGAGTTTTGCTGATCTTCGTGACAATGGTCAGTTGCTAGGAAATGGATATGCCTCACTCTTAATTCAATTTAAAAACAGAATTGAAAATATGAACCGTACCAGCAGCTTTCGCCAACACCGTTCATCTGGTGATGGACTAAAGAGAGGGCCTGCTGATACATATGGCTGCACCAGATTCCAGCCTGACCTTCCACCAGAGGAGACAGATGAAACAATAGAGCAGAAACATCAGCGGGTGGAGGAGATATACCACCGAGATGGAATCAATGGGGCTGAAAGAGCAGAAGTTAAGCATCTCATGGAAACAACCTATTGCCTGCAGCGTCAGCAAATAAATGGATTACCAGCACCAGCCATTGCAGATTTAAGAGAGCGGTGGCCATACCTTTTCACTCAGAAAGGGCTTTATGCGCATTTCAAGCTTCTAACTGATGTCAAAGTTTTGCGTGCACTTGAGCTTGTTGAGTTCTTCACCAACAAACCTACCAATTCAGCTGTCAAGGCAGTCCTTTCACTGCGTTCTGACCTTGAGCTGTCCATGTGTGTCATCCAGCTTCTGATGGCCCATTTCTCTGAGACCCTGGAAGGGCTGATTCTTTTTGCAAATGTAAGTTCCTTTATTATTTTCTACTATGCAATGATTGTCCTGATAATCAAAATAGACTCTGTGCTCTTTCCCAATCTAAAAAGCAAATACACAAATGGCATTTTTAGTGTATTGTGTTTTTATCACATCCTCATCATTGTATCTGTCTTAGGCATGTTCCACTGCAGCTGATGTAGAAAGGACACTTGGACTACCTGCAACTCCTCGACTGATACTCCTTGGTATGTGCAGAATTATGTATTATCTTTTACTGATAAGCTAAGTGTGTTTTTTCTGTATTTCAACAAACATTTTAAGCAAACGTTTTAATACCTCATGTCAACACTAAAAGATTTTCATTCATCTTTTGAATTCAAATTAATATATTTTTAATATTCTCTCATCATTGTCCATCCATTGAAAGTCCATCAAATCTTTCATGCTTCAAAATGTACATATCATTGTACACATAATCAAATTAATTTAATTTAGGAATTTATTCACATTTAAACAGAGATACACGCATACTTGGAGCAAACAAGCTCAAACATGCCTGCTGAACTGAACATGCCAGGACCCCTGAGATTTGTTCTTGCCTATCATGCAAGCAAAACAGAATCATGAGAGAATATTGAAAATATCTTTGTGTTCTGAAATTGAATGAAAGTTTTGGTTGGGTGAGGTGTAGGTGATGACTGAAAAAATGGCATTAATTAATTTATATAAATGGGACCAACAATTTCATAATACACATTATATACACATGTTGAATAAAGTTTCTGTCCAGACCAGTCCTTGATCAGCATTTAATTGATTTTGTTATTTTAGAAGAATATGAAGGTAAAGCTGAGTCTTTAATATGCAATCAAATAAAACATATGCTGAACATGCCAGGACCCCTGAGATTTGTTCTTGCCTATCATGCAAGCAAAACAGAATCATGAGAGAATATTGAAAATATCTTTGTGTTCTGAAATTGAATGAAAGTTTTGGTTGGGTGAGGTGTAGGTGATGACTGAAAAAATGGCATTAATTAATTTATATAAATGGGACCAACAATTTCATAATACACATTATATACACATGTTGAATAAAGTTTCTGTCCAGACCAATTCTTGATTAACATTTAAATGATTTTATTTTAGAAGAATATGAAGGTAAAGCTGAGTCTTTAATATGCAATCAAATAAAACATATTTGAGAGCAAATCTTTGCTACTTGCAATCAAAAAATATATATTTTTCAAACAAAAAACAGCTTTGAGAATTTTTTTACAAGTCAAAAACTTATACTTTGCTTGTGAGTTAAAAGATTTGCAAGTTAAAAAGATTTGAAAGTTACAAAATTCTGCAACTTCAAAAGCCTATTACCATTACCAGTTTATCTCCTGTCCAGTCTTGACAATAGGGTTAGGATTCCTCCGGAGCCAAGCTTAACCAACCAATAGAAACCCTTGTATCATTGATCATCTTAGAGCCCACCCATTATGCCCACTTTGTCACAAACTCTGTCAGACTCTGGTCCAATTCACCACTTCCTGTTTTATTTTGACATTTCACATTAGTTTCCTGCCACTATTACATTTCATCCCACTTTACACTTGGCTCTCTCACTCAGTCAGTTTACACACCTGCCTTCCTTCTGCTCATTATCACTCACACCTGTCAGTAATCTGCTCATCTACCTGAACCTGTTTCCTGGCCTGTACCTCAGTAAGTTTTATTAAAAATACAGAACTCTACTCCTGCCTGCCTGTGTGTCTGCGATTGGGGCCTCCAGCACTTCATTTTGCAAAACTTTTCAAGCTGTAAAACTTAACTTGCAAATCTTTTTAACTCACAAGCAAAATATTACTCTCATATGTCTATTTGATTGCATATTAAAGACTCACCTTCATACAGGGTTCTGTGAATGGGTACAATGATTTCAGTTTCCTTTGCATTAATTTGCAATCTGGTTATAGAAAATGTATAAGTTATGTGGTTGTTGACATGGGTTTTATTTCTGTTTTAGGTGAAAAACCAGGAAGATGCATTCACCAATGGATGGTCAGTCTTGAAGGCCAAGTCATTTGTGAGGGCATCCGGCCAGCTTTTCTATCTGGACTTGCTGCTGTGTTTTGTACTTACTACAATTTCAATTTGGAGTACCAAGCTGAAGCTGTATGCACGATGGAATTCATTCAGAGGTACCTAACATTCAATTCAGTTAATGGTTTTGTATGAATACGGTTTCAAAGCTTTATAGAAAATGCATGCTCCAATATACCCGCTACTGTGTCTGAACTATGTTGGTTAATTTACAGGTATAAAATGTGTAGCTACTAAAAATATGCTAAAATGCAACATCTGAACCGAACATTAAAGGGCAGTGTTATTTTTTTCCCATGCACAAATTCTTATTCTTAATTTTTTTTTCTCAGGCGCGTTATTGGGATTGATCCAAAGCTGGATGAGTCCTTTCGAAGAAGACGGGGAAGGTCACCCACAAAAAGGCATCGGTCAACCACCGTGTCGCAACTCTTCTAAAAAGCCTGATGGATTTTGAGTGGGACTTCATTTAAGTATACCCATCAGATCAATGGCTGTACTGACAACTGTGAGGCACAGGTTTCTTTCATTTCTTATTCTAGTTTAGGGCCAACAAACCAACTTTTGGTTCTATTCAGCTACATTTTCAGCCACAGCAGGCAGTGTGTTTTTGTTGCTTTCACTGTGCACTTTAACTTTTCATTTTTTTTAAATAGCTGATTTATTTTTATTTTTGACAAATGTTTAGGCTTTTGTTCAAGATTTAATAAAGATACATGTTTTGAAATTACACTTGTGTTGCATTTTATATACACCATTTTCTTTTTAGTAGCAAAAGTACTAAATCAGTTTTTAATTTTAGCAAGTCATTACTAAACAATGTACAACCTATATTTGTACTGTAGGTTACAGAAAAACCCTGCAAATATACCTCTTGTGATGAAGTGAAAAACACCAGGTTACTGTTAAATTAACAGTAAAAATATACCTCTTGTGATGAAGTGAAAATAAACACCAAGTTACTGTTAAATTATAGCGGAAACTGTGCTGCCAGTTGATTACTGTTTTTTTACATGGAAAATTCGTAACAGTGCAGTTAGCAGGTTGGACGTTCCGTTTTGACTCATTATGGTCCTTATCGGTGATCCCCGTTCAGGACCACATCAGCAAGGCCTCCCTCAACAGACGGAGCCTCCTACTCCCCCTCCCTCCAAAGCTGCACCGGGGATTACAGACGAACGCAGCCCGTTACCGGGTACTGCAATCAGCTCAGGCAGCAGCGGTCTAAACCTGGCGAGGTGCAGGGGCGTCAGCCACGATGGGAAATTAACATCAGACCGCGGGACGATGGTCGATGAGCTCATTTCTGCACCGAGGCTAAGCGAAGGAACCGAGGCAGACGAGCGGACATGACATCCATGTAGCGTCTGGCTTGCTTTAGCTGCACATTTAACACAACAGGGACACCAGTGCCATATTGATACAACGTGCGCGTGTTTTTGTGTGCACCTGTCGGATCGTAAACGCCTCATCACATGTTCGAGTAAGTGGCATAAACTGTCTCAGGTGGTGTGATTAATAGCATCCTTTCTGCAGTGATCTGTCTGTGCGCTTCGTATACTGCTCATGCACGGTTGGTGCGATCAGATGAGTCACAGGCCGAAGGTCCCACTGATAATTGATAGGCGGTACAGACATCACTTATGTAAAAGCACAGGTGTACAGCTACATACTGATATTAGCGCTATTTGTTATATTCATCATGTCGGTGCTCATTCGGTCACGGTGACTGGAGTCCCCCACCCGTCCATCCCGTTTCACTGGCCAAAGCAGCCTCCATCATTGCACACTGTCCTTTTTAATGAAACGAGCTGTGTAATTTCTCCCAATGACCCTGTCTGACTTTGTCTAGCTTTTGGGACGTTGTCCAGTTATAATGTTGTAATTGAAATTAGACTTGATCGTTTCAGTTTAGCCGGTGTGCTAGCTGCCAGTTAGCTGGTGATCCGTGCATGTTCGCTTCGCTGCAGTGTGTGACAGGATGGGGGGTAGCATTAAGGGTAACGACACCGGAGAGGTCATCAGAAGTTTGTTTGTAAAATTCTGGTCAGCCTTTCACATCCGGCACGCTGTCACGATTTAGCTTTATTTATTAATTCAGAAACAACGTCTCGTTCTGACTGACCTTCATCAGGTCGATCCCCTTACAATAGAATCAGTTCCCTTAAATTATCCAATCAAAACACTAGAAATTAAGGCGACAATTAGCTTCACCTTATCACTTTCCTCACAGAAACAAACTATTGTAATACTCTCCGTTCCTACACAAGCAGCCAGACGTTCTTGCGGTATCAATGTCCTTTTATTTGTAATCGCTAGACATCAGAACCATTACACAATTTTAAAACCAAGTGCATTTGTAGGTACGAATAACAATAGGCTACTTGTTTCAAGACAGTTCTGCTAAATACTGTGTAAACAGTATACTCTTTAAATAAATAAATAAACTACCACGTAATATACATCTTACAAAGACGTTCAGATATTTAACCGCTACATGTTAGTCATCCTGATAAGAGATAATGCATTAAGTTCATATTTGATAAGGATAATCATTTATGAAAATTGTGTGGACTATATATAAATGTGTCACGTGAATGGCTTTCATACTGACAAATACTTAGACACACAGAGCCACTGTGACTGAAGTGCACTGCTGACACATTTAGCCACCTGTCTGTAAACACACACTGACACACATTCACATCGCTCTGTGCACTGGTCATATTAACAAAATGCTCACCAAGACTGTTACTGCACCTGCTGCCTTTTTGTATATTAAAGGCATCTTAATGCTGCACAGATGATCATTGCTGCGTATGATAATGTAATAATTGTTTTGTTATAGAATGAACCCAGTGTGGGTTGCCTTGGCAATTTCTAGTTTATTGTTTCATGAGAAAAGGAATATTGTTTAAAAGCTTCAGGGAACTTCATCATTAATGGCCTAAATTAGGGGGAAATGTTACAAAAAGTCATTGCTATAATCAATGAAAACACAATAACTTATGGTTGATAGAGATGAGTGGTAAACATTGGAATACTTTAAGGAAAGAGGAGAGAGCATTTGGGCCTAAAGGGAGTAAACGAAGTGATGAACTCCTAATTTAGTTTTATGAATGAAATAATTCACTGTAGTCCAAAGGGAGCCAGTGCATTGTACAGATAAGCATTCATGAAGTTGGAGCTTGTCTTAAGGTGGAATTTAAAGCTGGAACTTCGCCAGCTACAGTATGTCTGACTCGTGGTGTCTGCTGAGGATACTAACTGGAATGGATAGTGATGATAAGTGGCTGTGTGTATGTTTGAAAGACAAACAGGTGAATGTAGTGGTGGCTTTACTTAAAGAGACATGAGGTGCAACAGTGGAAACTCTGTTGTGGTGTAAATATAATAATACCTTTTATATGCAACTGTTCTGGCAGCAGTACGATGACCTTGATGAGGACAGTAGCAGCTGAACTATTTTGGAGACATTTAATTGTCTGTGTGTAGTAAGTATATAGATGAAAGCCAAAAGTCAAAGTTCTTATAGTATATGACAAGTGTTGCTGAAGTTTTGACCTGTATGTAGGTAAAGTTGTGCCAGGAATCTGCACTCTGGTACATTAAGTCAGTCAATAAACCCAAAATGTTTGGTTTGTTGGATATTTGGTAATTTTTACTTGACATGTCTTAAAAGATTATTCAGTTGTCACCCTTGTTATTGATTAATTGGACTAATTGTTTGAGCCCTTGACTGCACTGTTACCGTAAAGTCAAGACAACCATACAGCTTATATGTGCAGTATGTCTAATGCATTAAATGCATGTCTCTGGCTTAAGTTCACCAGAATAAAATCTCATTGAAAACTTGTGATTACTGCACAAACTCTTAAAGCTCTGACTTGATAGTCTTTATTCCAAAGGGAACTGTTGGTACTGTGTTTTGTACTTGAACTTCTTGATTGTACCCTCTTAAGATACATGACAAAACAGCTTTATATAGCCACCCTGTCTGGCTGCTGGCCTAGTCGGAATTAGCTCAGCTGATAACATCAAGCAGACACAGCCTTTCTTTTGCCTTCCATTAGACAGTTTGATATGGTATGCCATCACCAAATAGGAAATGCCTGTAGACGGTGTTTGTAGCATGGCATTAAAGTTACAACAGAGCAGAAGTGATGAACCATGAAAGGTTTTGCTCTTCTTCCCTGAGATGAATCTCTCTCTGTGTCTCTTCTGTCTGCAGTACGGCCAGTAACTCTCCACGCAGCACCCCCGGCAGCTCTCCTTCCTTGCGGCACAAGGTCCTTGGGGGTGGAAGGACCAGTGAGAATGAGGGAGCAGGAGGTAGTTCAGATAGCCCCTTGCCCTCCATACCCCCCGCCCCCTCCCTCACATCCGCCTACCCACTTGCTTGTCGTCCCCTCAGCCGCAGTGCCAAGGTAACTTAGAATATCCGCTCATTAGGATTATATATGCTTGATGGTTGCTAAGCTTAAAGCTGCTGCTGCTGTTAATAGATCTGTAGACAGATGACTCAGTCAAACATATCTTATTCTATCAAGACTCACTGTTTTCATGATAACATTGTAGAGTTTGGAGAGTTAAGATTTAATAACAAGATAACAAATGGTTGTGAGTGAATGCACCCTTTAAGCAGAGTGTTCAATCAGTCTACACTTTCATCTGCATTTTCAGTTACAGTTTTGAAAGAGATTAATCATAAATAAACAGCTGAAATACTAAACATGTCTGTGAATGATGGAAAATAGCATTCCACTTCTTCATTTCATTAATACCAGATGGCTTGAGTTTATTACATACACCAAGCGAAAAATTTGAGGCAGTCTAATACAGCAGTCCTAAAATAAATCCTGCCTTCATGAAGGTGAGAATGCTCGGTTTTTGTTGATACTGTATCACAGATGTGTTGATTCATATGTATGTTCATTTTAGAAGGTGTAGTTTGTGCTGCTGTTGTATTGTATTACATTCAAATATCCAAGTGGGCTACTTTACTGGAGGGTTGTAAGCTAATAGATGTTTATGGCTGTAGTTAATCAGTAGTGTAACCTTTTTATTCCTACAGATAGATTTCACTGCTGTTCACTACTAAGTATGATCTTCCCTTCTTTACAGAAAATGCAGAGCTGGTACAATGTGAGTATACATTAACGACCCCTCATTAAGCATTTTCACTCCAGGGCACTTGACTTTGCTGATAGTTGTCTGTTTTAGTTTCAGGCAGGTGATACTCCTTGTCAATAAAATGCTGATCTTCAGAATGTGTTTTATCCCTCAGAGTAACACCATGTTTTTGTTAAGCCAAGTGCTTGGCTAGCATTGAATTAGAACACCATGTTCTCCTTTCTCTTTCCTGTCTTCCCCCTTAGGTTCTCAGTCCTACATACAAACAGCGGAATGAGGACTTTCGTAAACTATTTAAGAAACTTCCTGACACAGAGCGACTTATAGTAGGTGAGTGAGACATTAGTGTCAGAGATATGATGATAAGCTCTTTGTGTGCTGAGCTCATGTGGGCTCACCACACACACTCAAGGTGATTATATACTCATAAAATCAAACTCTTGCATTGATGAAATGATTTCTGATAAAACCAAGTGTGTCTCTGTTTCTTTCCTCAGACTACTCTTGCGCTCTGCAGAAGGACATACTCCTCCAGGGCCGCCTTTATCTGTCAGAGAACTGGCTCTGTTTCTACAGTAACATCTTCCGCTGGGAAACCACTGTAAATCATGCTCACACTGTGTACACATTCCCACACGCACAAACACATGTCTTTTGTAACCTGGTTAATGTCACACCTGCGATCTGATAAAAAGGCTTTTTGATCTGCTTGTTTGCTGATCGAACTAGATCTGCTCAGACCTTTGGCGAGATAACAGAAGTGCACACAGAAATACAGAGTGAACCACACACAC